CCTGGATCCCTAAACCGAACTGATGTTTACTTCGCTAGCAGAAGAATCAGTTGAAATGACTTTTACCAAGAAGAGATACGCCATTTCAATGACGATTGTCCTCGAGTTTGCGCGTGCTGCAGCACGCGGTTCCTGGGTGTGTCACAGTGATGTATACATATATATATATGTACTGGAAAATATACAGTTTTAAAAATGAATAAATTTTCTCACAGTTTCTCCTTGCACTTTTTAATTGTTTTGACTGTTTCATGGAAAGGATCTTCGACGGGCAATGTGCATAGGAATTGCTTCACCTATCTTTTTTAGTCATATTTTCCAGCTTGTATGACCTACAATCCTCAACCCGTTGGGCCCCAACCTAGACGGCGAGCTGCACCAACCGAAGCCAGTACTGGGGCTAACTTCTTAGGAAGTATGAATTCATACCTGTACGCCAGGTCATGGTCTTTTAGTGACTAGGCGGTTGCCCATGTTCGTCAGAACCTGTCACTAATGTTGGCTCGCGTTCGTTGTGGATATTCGTCTCAAGAGGAAACAGAACCAAGGATTGGGTTTGTCGAAGCGATATACTCTGAAACTTCCGAAATGTTGGAAGTTTGGCTAGGCCTAGGCTGTTATTTAACCAACGACAGCAGAAAACTGGAAGTTGATCTGATCATTGCAAGGAAAGCGTGCGATACAGAGCTCACCGTGAGGAATTGTGTCGGTACGGTCTTTTCGATCTCAATACAAGCACGATAATAGTTGAAGCAAAACTTTATTCTGGAAGTTGTTATATCTAGTGAAGAACCGTTCTCTGGAAGATAGCTATCGCCAAATAGTGTCGATACGTGCTAAATCTCGACGGTACAATTGATTGTGCTCCGTAGAGAAGGGTCCTTATATTAGAAGGAAACATAACGGTTGTCTAGCTTTTGTAATTAATCTACCTGATCGAGATGCTAAGTCACTACTTGATATCTGAACCTTGATGGTTATGATAAGTATGTCATGGTTATGTAACCGTGTCCTGATAGTCCTCAATTATGCGGACTGTTTGGAAGCTGAACCTGTCCTGATGCTAATCTCCAGCGTAGGGTGAACCTGCTACTGGTCCGTGATTTGATGATCGCGTCCAGCTTGAATGGATCTACCAGGGAATTTAGAGGAAAACAAGAGGCAAGAAAAGTAACTGCCGTTACAAAGCTGTCGGTTGAAGAACTGCTTCCGTCTAACCGCTACGGCGCTTCCAGCCTTGCCCAACACGTACCAAAGAGAATGATTTACAAGAAAGGTGACAGGTCCTCTTGTGAAAACCACAGGAATTGTCCTAATCAACATTGTCTCCAAATTTATCGTTGTTATGATACTCCATCGGTTGTCCGCTGCACGTAAAGAATGCATGCGTAAGGATCAGGCTGGTTTTAGACCTGGTCGAGGTTGCATCGACTACATCTTCCTTCTTTGCCAAATTGTAGAGCGCCTAAACTCCTTTCGCAGACGCACTGTTTCCATCTTCCTTCATCTGAAAGCGGATCTCGACTCATTCGACCGCTCGATACTTTGGCTGTCCCTTTCCCTGAAAGGTGTGCCTGGGAAGTTTATTTTAATATCACGATTCCCGTATACTAACGACCGAAGTCGAATCCAAGCTTACAGTACTTCGTCACCTGAGTTCACTACAGTGAGTGGCGTTCACCAGGGTTACCCTCTCTTTTCTGTTTAAGTTTGAATATGGGAACCCCTCTACCTTCTTGCGAGGATAGCGACATCGATTTGCTCCCAATTGCAAACTATCTGATCCGCAGTATGCAGACGACAATGTACTGCTGAATGAAGATCCAGGTAAGTTGCAAGCTTTTGAGCTTGAGTGCCAGCGTGGCCATGTTCGGTATGCGTTTTGCACCTTCAAAGTGTAAAATGTCGCTACAAGTCCTGGGAAATCCGGACCCAGCTTCACTCTAACTGAGGAAGTAATAGAATAAGCGGTGGACGCATCGCGGATGAAGTGTCAGCTTGCATACAGAAGGTTTGATTGGCATTTATAAACTTGGGACATCTATGTCACGTGGCGACATCCGACTGTCGGTGAAGGGTCGAGCTTGTGCTGCAGCAGTTCAGCCAGTTTTACTATACGGCTCAGGAACTTGTCCATTACGAAAATAGGATAAAAAGTAAACTGTTTACGCAGTATTGCACGGATCTGGTGGGGCCACCGGACGAGCGATGCTGAGGTTAGGCGCAGAGCTTTGAGTAGATGCGGTCACCCACTAGAGCAAGTGGTTGACCTCCATAGATTACCTTGGTTGGAGAGTGCGCTACGCATGTCACCAAATAGGTTGCCACGGCGAGCAATGTTTGCCTAGGCAGGCAGTGCAAGGGACAGACTAGGACCTGGAGCGAGGGTATAAAAAACCTAACCATGGTACTCGATCACATAGGTCGCGTTGAGCTGGGGACCACGAGGTTGGAGACATTAAATGATATGGCTGAGTGTCGTAAGCAATGGCGTTCTTGCATCTTCACAATTTCTTTGCAACGGAAATTTTGCATTTTCTCTTCGACTGATTCCACTTTTCCTGTCTTTCTCTTACTGCTTCGTCCAAACGGGTAGTCAGAAGACAGCAACTGAAACCGGCGCACGACAGTACATAGTTAATGATTGCATAAACTGAAACTCGTTGCTATGTGCATTTTTTCATGCCCCGGTCCCACGTCTTCTGTTGCTTACTACGCGTTTTCTTCCAACCTGAAACCTCTTCGGCAAATAAGGCGCGATGCAGCAGAAAACAGCTGGGCATGCGCAATACGCGTCTTAACAAGCAAGGCTGGAGTAAGAGCCGCAACGGTTAGATCATGACACGGCTTAGAGGTATGAAGTAGCTACCTTCAGCTTTTGGTGCGGTTGATGCAGCCAGCCTTCCAAGAGGATGGAGATTGTCGTTAGTTGGTGACACTCGGAGGTATGATCCAGACTAGAATTCAGTGGTGGGAATGCTGTACGGTCTGTTTGTCGAAATCCTGTGCCTTATGGAGAAAACATTAACAGATGTGCGGTGAAGCAAACAGAAAGTTTGATCTTTTCAACCCCCATCTCACTGTTTTGTATCACAACCCCTTTGATCTGTTATTCTCGTTGTTTCGTTGACACCGTGCGTGTTCGCAACCCGTTGATAAATATATAATACATGCCAGCGAAGCGAACTTTTATTAATTCTATGACGTAACGATTATGCCATCGAATCATTACAAATACTTGACGGCCTACCTTGGAGTTGTTTACACACTCCCTCCATCCAGCCCGAGACCAACGTAAAATCGAGAGTCAGAGACTTCTGGACGACGACTATCTCCGGTGAGCGAATTGAGAGTATTGCAACCGTGAAGCAGAACTGTCCTCAGTTCGGCGCAGTATACACGTACCTCCAGTTCCAAGAAAACGTCACGTTTGCACCAAAGATGTTTCAGTCCTGCGTAAGCTGCTCGTGCCTTAGAAATGCGGGTGGTTAATTCCTTGGCTATGCTGCCTGTATTTGTCCCCCCACAACTCAAGTATGAGTAACAATCCACTATAAATAATTATTTGCCATAATGCATTACAGCTGCGGTACACGGCCAAATCTTGTATCATCACTGCACCTTGAATATGCAAAGCGAATACGAGTCGGATTTCATTATGCCGGTCGGAAGTGACTGACGTGCGTCAAAGGGCCAAAGACTCAGCGGAAATCCAAGGTATCACGACATGTGACAGACCACAACTAATAAGGACAGCTAAATGCAAAGCATTCCTAATAGGCGACCAGTGCTCACTAATTTTATCAGGTGGGGTTGGATCCAGCTTTTCAGCTAGCACGTTTTGAAAGACGGCTAGGCATGCTGGTTTAGACAACTTATCGCAGTCTAACTGCCGCTGTGTTGCGCGTTTAGGACGCCCACCGAAACACATGGAGATCTTAATGCAAACTAACGCGTGATCGGATTCGAGGGTCTTTTATGCAACCCCGCCATTTGTGGCTTATGGCGACGCGGTCGATTTGCGTTTGCCGTTGACTCGAGAAGGGTGGACGCCAATTGGCCTATTGGCAGTTGGATCTTCTGAAGTTCGCACTGGCGAGCGATAGGCGGTGATCAGAACATAGAGCTCTTAAGTCGTTTTCCGAGCGACAGGAATCTAGTCCGAAAGGACCATCCAGATGCGCTTCAATTGAAGTCAGTTGGCTTACTCTAGCATTCATATCTCCTGCTAAAATCACGATATCCGACCGATTTGCCTTGCGCAAGAGGTCGGATAGC